GCCCGCGAGACAAACTGTTTCAACAATTGCGCGATCTCCTATATCGACTCACGCGAACAAGCAACAACAGCAACAACATCGATGACGACGACAACGAAGATTCAGATTTTTAACACAATGAAAAAACAAACACATACCTGACTACACCCTTAATATTAATAATAATAATAGTATATTCTAAGAAAATGTTACATGAATACAAATAAATATGTATCATAATCGACTTTATCCCCCTGTTTTTTATTTATTCACCGTACCTTATTACTAATTAGGTTACAGATTTATAATACCAGCATATTGATCATATTATTATTCTTTATTTGTGAGACACAGTTAATATGTTACTGTCATCTGTTGATAAGACACTACAAGCGTTTTATTCAACTTCCGCTTGCGATTGCGATATCGTCATTGTCGTAACGCTTTCTCTTGCGTTCAGGACACGCGTCATCCGAGTAAAACAGATCGCGCGTCTCTGTCTTGACCCCTGGCACACTTCGCAAATCGCTCACCACGGCCTCGAGCAACTGACACAACGCCTGATGCTTGAGATCCATCCTCATCGAAGAATACAGAAATTGCGCTCGCAGCTTGGCGCGTTTCCACCAATTACGCTTCTCGATATCTTTTATATCGTCAATGTTGAACACTTGCATGCGCACCAATTGACCATCCATCTCACCCGGTGTTTTCGTGATATGCAATCTCCCGTTTTGCATCCTCGTAATATTCTGTGATATCGGCTCTTGCACCACAATCGAGTTCTGCACAGTCGTGACATTTTGCGATGTCGGCTCCGCGACCGATTCGAACAGTGAGTCCATCCCATCGTCGAGTTCCTCCGGTTTGTCACTCGCTGAATCCATCTTTAAGATTCCAAACTGCCTCTGATACTCGATGACCCATTCTTGGAACGTATCCTCGGTCATTATACCTTTAACAAGCTTAACGTGCAACTCCTTCGGAGCGATGCACTTTACAAAGGTTTGCATTTCCCGCTTAGAACATACCGCATTCATCGAACCTTTCATCCGCACCCACAAGCTGTACATTTCCTGTAAAATGCTTTTCATCTCCTGTCCCTCACGCATACGACGCGTAGCCACTTTTCCACTTCTCGCAATGTAACCTGCCATCATTGCAATTACCAGTCTTATATTCCGCTTCGCCGAAAAAGACGCGTCCCACACGTCTGTCAACAATTCAAGCAAGGTAAACTTTGCTGATGACTCTGCATCAATCTCTATAACCGGTATCGTCTTCTTCTCCATCTCATCTAGTCGTTGTGTAGCCTGTTCGTAACAGACGATGTTATTTTTATAACTACGAAAACTTTTTCTACACCGTCGCTACGAACCTGTGCGTTGAACATGATGTTTCGCCGAACTCGATCGTTGCGCGACGCTACGAATACGCTTGATCGCCCGCGCTTTTATTCCTCCTTCGTCACCCTTGAGATTCGGAATGTCATCACCGTTGCAAACCTCACACTTGCACCGGGAAAAATACATCTGACACACTTCCTGCCTGCGTGATCACGCAGGAATGCTAGACCCTATCTTCAAATCACACACCTCAATTCTTGCGCAATAGTCGCATGTGTGTTAAACCCTTGCATTTATTCCCCCTTTTTCAGGGCTGCATTCGACGGGCAGAGTGGCGCAGTGGAAGCGTGCTGGGCTCATAACTCAGAGGACCGTGGATCGAAACCACGCTCTGCTAGATTTTTTTTCTTCACTTGTAGAAAATTATATGTGCAACCGCGCGAGCCGGGTTCGATTCCCGGCGAGCCGTCTTTTTTTCTCGATATTAATTTTATTATGTAGAAGATGGAGGGGGGGATTAGTCATGCGGCTCACACGTACACCGTACCTAACTCAGTCGCTCTGACTCGGGCGCGGAGCGCGGGGTGTACGAAGGTCTGTGTGTGGGGTGGGGGCTCCCCTCCCGGCAGGTCTGTGTGTGGGGGCTCCCCTCCCGACAGACCGTGTACCCCGCACCCCACTAACCCGAGTCAGAGCGACCGTGAGGTGGTACCATCACAGGTCTTCTACTCTTTCTAAATCAGCGTTTGTTCAATTGGACAATTCTTTTACGCACAGTTCAGTGTCGCACAGTTCAGTGTCGCACAGTTCAGTTTCGCACAGTTCAGTTTCGCACATTTCACTTTCGCACAATTCAGTGTAGATGCACACAAGAATATTCTGCTTTACAAAATAGTTGATTTCACTTAATTTGTTTTTCTAATTCTTGATTACTTCACCTTGTATCTGTTACATGTGCAATGACACTGAATTATGCGAAACTGAACTGTGCGAAAGTGAACTGTGCGAAACTGACATGTGCGAAACTGTAATGTGCGAAACTGAACTGTGCGACACTGAACTGTGCGTAAAAGAACTGTCCAATTGAACAAACGCTGATTTAGATAGATTTATTATTTATAAATTAGCAAAATTTTCAAACAGGGCTCTACATGCATACGCGTGTGTCTGTGTGTTTTAAATTATATTTCGATAACCTGTGTCCAAAAGCAACAGTGTCCAATTGTACGGTGCGCAAAAGAACTGTGTCCAAATGAACGGTGCGCAAAAGAACTGTGCGCAAAAGAACTGTGCGCAACATTATGTGTCCAATAGCACTGTGTGCAATTGTATCGTGTCCAATTGTACTGTGCGCAATTGAAGGCTTCTCGGCGTCCACAACCTCTACCGCCCGCCTCCGTGGAGGCAGAGCCTGACGGGAATCCCAGCCCACCAGGCTCAGGCCGCCTCCCCCGTTGTTCTTGGGGGAGGGCCATCTCCCTACGGCCTCAGCGGTATTCCGCCCACTATACGGAGAGGGGTCTTACCCGCGACTTGCGGGCAACCCCTCCCCCGCCCGTTAGGGCGGTGGTGTGGGCGGCGGTGTAGGGGGCGGAGTGGGAGCGGGAGCGCGGGCGAGTAGCAGTCTCGCCCGGCTCCGCGTCATGGGAGGGGAGACTGGGGGAGATTGCACCTCCCCGACAGCTCCCCCTCCTTCTGACCCAGCTGCCGCCGCCGCTGCTGTGGCGGGCGGGGGAGGGGTATTTGGCCCCTCCTCTCCCACTCCGCTGCCTCCTTCTGCGAGATAACTTTCTCGCAGAAGGAGGCAAACGCGTGCCAGGACCTCTCCTCTTCCAATATTGCGGTAATCACCGCTGGAAGGGAGAGGTCCTGCCCTATCACGCGGACGAGCGCCTCCCGC